TTGCTTTCAGAAAACGAAGTGGCAGGAACGGGAAAAAAAAATGTGCCAGCAACGGTGACGTGAAAAGTCGAGGGTAGTGGGGCAGCACAAAGCAGCAGCGAACGAAAATTAAGCAACGGCAGCGGTCCCGGATGGAGGACACAACACCGGTGCTGCAGATCGCGTGGACCCAAGGCCGAATCAAGCCACTAACAATCGCAAAAGAAACCACCCGGCGTGACCCGACAGGAAACTAACCAACTGTATTGCCCGGTTTAACTGGTTTTCTTTTTGAAAGCGAGTCAAAGTTGGCTGCGAAAAAGGCCCCGAGGATGTGCAAATGCGCAGCGGCAGGGCATATGCTCCATGCTCATGGGCCATGAGGCTCGAGGCCGTTTTCTCGTTTTTCCGGTCGCGACGACAAAGCAAGCGAGCAGCCGTATGGCGGGGGAGGGGCAGGGGAACGGTTTTTTTGAATTATTTTTTGTTCGTTGAAGGCGTAGGCCATGCTGCAATTCTACGGCGGAGGTGGGATTTTTTTTCCTATTGACGAAGCTAGTGTGGTAGTAGCACGGGTCTGGTTCCTCGGTACCGCACCAGCGGAGCCTGGGGTGCCCAGCCGCCATTGATCCGCACAATCATGTGATTGGGCCGGCTGCCAGTGCTCCAGTGCATCTGGGGTGCAGAGGTGATTGGTTAGATGAAGGAACCCGTGTCTTAGATTGACGCCGCTGGCGAGGTGACCGTTAATATGGCTGATTGCGTGATTCTATGGCACGAGCGTCTTGTGCGGGTCGGGATTGGTGGTACCTTGGCGGGCGCCGAGGAACATGTCCGGGCGCCGTGGCTTGTGAGTTGGTCTGGGGGTTGGTTTTGTGAAACGTGATTTGAGTTTCAACACATTAGAGTATTACTTTAACTTTTAGCGTTTTTTTTACTTTTTCTTGGACGGTGGTATGATGAATTGGGATAGCAAGATAATTCGTGCGCAACGGTTGCAAATTCTTACCACGGGCGCGGAAAAGCCGAAAAGTCGAAAAACGCTCGCTCGGCCTGAACCGGAACATAGGCAACTGGGGTAATAAGAAATCGTACATGGTGGAAGAGGCCACATAGAGAGCAGGTGATTCAAAGCCAGCGATATGTAGGATTGACGTGTGGAGGCAAATCGGATTTCCAGAGATGTACAGAAGGGCTCACAGCCTATGCTTGGGCTGGTGACTGGGTGTATAGGGCAGTTCGTTTATGTAACATTTATTGAAGGGCCCTTGCAGTTTCAAGAATCAAGTGGCCCATACTTAAATTATCGATTAGCGACACGGCTTTGGTGACCTCAGTAGCTTCGGTGACAGTGTAACTGATAACCACTGGCCATGACTGCATTGATTCTTAGTCGGACTCTACTACATACCAGCAGATTAGCACGCCAGCGCCAACCAACTCATCAATAGAACCCGAATTTCCATAATTCCTTCTAAGAATGACCAGACCGAAATAATAAATTCACCTTCATATTTTCAGTCGACTTGCCCACTTCCCAACACACTTAGGAGTTACCCCCGCGCCTGCAGTCGTCTAACATAGAGTACACAATCTTCATACACATTTTTACCACGTCAGACCATGGACTCTTTGACAGACGAACAGAAAAGTGTGCTTGACGAATTTGTGGCCATTACCAACGTCTCGCTTGAAGACGAGGACAAGGCCGAGAAGAGTGTCATTTTGCTCCAGAATCACAGCTTCAACTTGAATAATGCTGTCCTATCGTTCTTCGAAAGCGGCCTAGATAACGTGCAGAGGAACCCCACACCCATCGAGGAACCAACGCCGCTGGATTCCCTGGCCTCAGGATTCGAAAGATTTGAATCCAATGCAGTGCATAGAAATCTACATGACGAGTTTGTGCTAGATCATTTATTGCCGAAACTACCCAAGGCCCCAAAGATCAGCAATCATTGGCAATTCGACCTCGGAATCCATATGTCCCGGAGAGCGTTAGCTGTTTCCGAAAAGACAGAGGCTGAATCACCAGCTGTGGTTCAAAAAAAGCCCTCTATCTTGTGGATCATTCTCCTTATCATACCCAGGGCGTTTTCCATGCTCTTTTCATTCCTTAAATTCATGTTGGGCTGGAACTCATCACCATTGTATAAAGCACTTCCCAGCCTGTTTAATTGGGACACTTATGACGAGACTTATGACATAACAAGCATCGCCGAGGGCATCAACCCAACGGAGCTCCACTTACGAACCACAGATTTCAACAAATGCCATGAAGAGTCCCAGAAAGACTTCAAATTCTTGACAACCATATTGGTTGATGACTCATGCGTCGAATTTGCTCGCCAGTTCCTACAATCACCGCATTTGAAACTGCTTCTAGAAGAATGTCCTGATAACGAGATTTACTTAGCCAACGTTGACAAGAGTCCCGAGGCATTTGAAGTAGCTCAGACTTACAAAATTCGGAGACTTCCGTATGTTATGCTTGTGGGTAATGTGACCAGAAACCCTCAGGTTATGTCTTCGATGTCTATCATCTTCAAATCGAATATCTTATTTGATATTGATGATGAGCAACAACAAGTGGTGAACAAAGTTCTTCGCAGCTTGAAGAAGAGTGTGAACCATTTTAATCCACAACTTGTCTCCAAGCGGTACGACAAGCAAGAGATGGAGTTAAGTCGACTTCTTAAGGAGAAACAAGACGAGGCTTATCTTGAATCTCTCGCACAAGACAGGGAGAAGAAGCAAGAGAAGCAAAGAAAGGAGGCAGAAGAGAGTCTGAAGAAGGAATTGGAACAGATGAGAAAGAACTTCATTCAGACCTTGGTGGAGAAGGCTTGGTTCGAAGAGCAAGCACAAGAAGCAACACCAAAGGATCTGATCAGAGTGTCATTTAAGATCCCCGATGGTCGCCGTGTGATTCAAAAGTTTCCCAAAAGCATGCCTGTCGTGGCGCTCTATCTCTTCGTCGAGACGCAACTCTCTCAGAGAGAGGAGAACGAGGCTTATGAGGAGTCGGAGTTGACGATAGAAGAGTTCTGCGAAAAATTCGACTTTAACTTTGAGCTCTTCAAGCCGTTCCCAAAGGTAAACTTGCCATGTGAACAACAGACGATTGAGGAGTTTAATGGGTTGAAGCTGGGTGACAACATCATGGTGGAGTATCTTGGGGAGAGTGAAGACGAAGATGAGGCGTAGACAGCAATGTTCGCAACCGAACTAGCCTTCGTCCAAATGACAGAGATATTAAAATGAGAGACTCAGCATACTTATATTTTCATATACAACACAACAGAATCCACCGGCAAGTAAGTAATTTTCGGTCAACTCGAGTATCAGTCATGCCCCGAATGCACAATTACGGTCAAACAGTGCGACCCATATCTAAGTATGCGGGGCTTGGCACATAGTAAAATCAATTAACGCTGCGACAACCTACAACTCCTCTTTCCGGAAACCTCTCAGCAATTACAGACACAAACAAATATGGCGAGTCGTCAGTCCAGATTAGAGGCTGAGAAATTGGCCATCATCCAGAAATCCATGTCGAGAGGCCGGTCCAACTCCCCTTCCAATAGCAACAGCAGATCCTCTTCAACCCTGAATGACGAGTTCAACAATAAAGACATCAAGTGGTCTATTACCAACCACGATCCACTGGAGCGGTTGAGAGACCCCAATGAACAAGTCAATGACGAAAACGGTAACAATGCTCTCTGGGAAAATGAAATGTCAGAAGAGGAGCATATCAGTGACGATGACGATAACGAAAAGTTCCAGTACGATGGGACTGGTAACATCTTACCCAATTACGCCTGCCAGGATGAAAAGATACTGGAGATCTCCACAATTTTGCAGAACTCGAATTTGAACGACAGACAAACCATCAAAAAGCTCGAGGAGTTAACCGCCACAGAGCGGGCAGTCGCTAATGCACGCAACATCGGCAAGGATGTCGACCTTGATGTTGTTGAAAAGCTTTCACAGAACAAACATGCACTCACTGGCAAGGAAGGATTGGATCTTAACAACTCCGATCAGGATGCCGAAGCCAGAAGACAGAAATTGGAGACCTACCAAGCTTACAGGCGGAAGATCATTGATCAAGAGAATGAGCAGTTGAGAGGCCCTCACGGAAGCTATTCTACCAAAGACCAGGATGACAACGGTGAGGGCGAAGGCTTCATGGCGCCCTACACTTCTGCAGTAGAGGACAAGTTGGACTCCGAGTTTGCATCGCAATTGAATGAGACAATCAAGGAAGGTGAGATTGACTCCAATATCGCACACTCAAGAGTTATCCAAACCATTACACGTGGTAACTTTTTCCAACTCATAAACCCTAAGGTCAAGCCCAAGATGTTCCTTCTTTGTATGGATTTCAGTCCAGAGTCAATCTTTGCCCTTGAGTGGTGTTTGGGAACCGTTTTGGTCGACGGCTCCGTTCTCTTCATCGTTTGTGTTATTGAAGATAATGATGCCAACCATAATCTTAAAGCAAACTCCAACAACGAGAGAGAGACCGCAAGGCTCAATATGCTCAATCGTGCCAAGCAACAAGTTTTGAACTTGTTGAAATTGACTAAACTACAAATTCATATTGTCATTGAGATCATTCATCACCCGATCCCACGTCATCTTATTTTGGAGTTCATCGACAACCTACAGCCTACGCTAGTTGTGGTTGGATCGAAGGGTCTGAGTGCTATCAAGGGAGTCCTCTTGGGATCATTATCGAATTACTTGGTCACAAAGTCTAGTGTCCCTGTGATGGTGGTGAGAGAAAAGTTGAAGAAGATAAACAGATTCAAGAACGGCTCCTCCATCTTCTCCAACAACATCAAGCCTTTGACCTTGTCTGAAGCTAGAGTTGATTAATCACGATGCTTTATTTCTTCTACGCATTATGCAAATTTATACTTATCATAAACGAAATTACGAAGGTCTATATCATTGCACCAAAACCATAACCATTATCCCATACCCAAAAAACCGTCCAAAGTAAAAGCAGCCTAGAGGAAAAGCTCTGTGAATGCACGCTTGCCACGAGAGAATTGATGCGAGCAGTCTGCTGCTGGGCATTTTCGTGGAGCGCTGATCATAGGATTATCAATTGACACTTCCTGATCTTTCTTCTTAGAACGCCTTCCTGGTGCTCTATTACCAATGTTCTTTATACATCTTCCGCAGAAAACGTGGCCACACTTTCCAACGAAGACACGTTTGGAGAGTGCCCTATCACTTTCTAGACATTGCGTGACGCAGAACCATGGGGCTTGGACCTTGTTATCCGCAACATACTTTGACAAATGTCTGTTATACTTAGGGTCGGGTATGAAGTCATCTGGAATGCCTTCGCCCAACTGTATACCACATAATTCACAAAGAAGGTTTTCTGTGGGAGTGATGTTGGTCGTGTGCAAATTATCCTCCTCCTTAGCTTCATCTCGCTTTTTGCGAAGCGTATCCCGATTGTAAATCTTTTCCTTTTCTATCTTGCGATCAAGGGCCAGATCGTCCTCTCTTTCTAAACGGGCTAGTATAGCGCCGGATATCTCATCTGCTGTGTCTTGTGCATGTAAGTAATTAAAAAAGGTTCTTCGCTCCTCCTCCGGAAGATTGAAGAAACTGAAAGGTACCGCAAAGTTGAGTCTTTCCATAAGCAGCTGTCCAGCAGTTCTTCTTCTCGTATTTCTTCTTGGATTTCTCCCGAATAGTGATCGCTGTCTCGTTGGTGGCCGCGGCGTAGGTGGCGTTTGAGTGGGTGTTCGTTCCTCACGGTGGTCATCGACAGGAACAGCCTCCATAGGTGCACCAGGGTATTGAATAGGCGATGGTCTCATCTCATTTTGACCGGTAATCTGAATTTCGTCATCGTCCACGGCGGGAGCTGGAGCTTCACCCACTATTTCTAGCTCATCATTGGATGCATCCAGCTCAGCATCACTAGGGACTTCTATGATACTGTGTCGGTGATCTTGTTCATTGAAACTCAGTCCGGGCTCATTTTCGCCATCACTGACAACCTCTATTATACTCGAACGCCGCCTTCTTGACGGTTGTTTAGTATCTTGCTCACTCATCTTGTCGTAGCTGTAGGATGTCGGTCAAAAAAGGTAACATTCAAGTTGGAAGTGGATTATTTTTGAAGCAAGTAGAGCTAGAAAATGTGACTAATGAGGAAAAACTTAGTTGTGTTTTATGTTAGGTTCAGATCGCTGACATATCAGGCACCATGCGAGCTGAACAGTGCTGCTGTATTTCGCGCACGTGACTTCGATCTCCAAAAGTAGGAGGGATACCCAGATCTACGCAGTTGTTCAGGCCAGTCTTGCTTTAACCTTAAATGAGAAACCCGTTTCTTTTTTGGCTTCCCAAAATTGGAAATTTGCATTCAGTGATGAATAACAGAATTTTCATTAGAAATTACAAAGTTTAATATAATGAAGATTCCAGTTCGTGGAAGAATGGAACTAAAAAGAACCAACTTTACGGATCACGGACTTAATCGTCTTTTCTTTTATTATCGATGCAAATCTGCCTAAAATACATGGTATGCCCGCTCAATGCTTCCCTATAATGCGTGTGCTCACGGCTTATTTCTTCAAACCGCTTCTAACGTAACGACCGACGACAACACAGTGGTCTCTCTCATATGGCTCCAAAGTCAACTGCTCCAATGGCTTGATTCTCTCCTCTCTCAATTTCTGGACCTCTCTGGCAAAGACAGTCTCAGCGTCAACAGTGGAGTCAATACAGTTGGCCTTGATGGAGATGACAACGGTACCTTGGTCCTTCAAGAACAAGTGGGAGTTCAAGGCGATAATACGAGCCTGATCAGGCTGGGCCACATCGGCAAACACAGCGTCAACCATACCAATCAACATACGGTACTTCTGTGGGTGACGAGCATCGTCAATGATTGGGATAACGTTTGGTCTCTTCTTAGCCATGGAGATCAACTCTCTACCAGGACGGTGGGAGAACTCAACAGCGAAGACCAATCCATCTGGACCGACAACATCGGAAACGTGGGAAACGGAGGTACCGGAGGCAGCACCCAAGTACAAGACCTTCTTGCCTGGAGCAATACCCAACTCATCGATACCACCCATGATACCGGCAGCCAACTTGGATCTGAAAGGGTTCCAGACACGGTATTCAATCTTGGTAGGAGCAGCACCCTCCTCCTTGGCTGGCTCGTCAATGGCAATTCTCTTCTCACCGTAGACGGACTCACCTGGGGCCATGTTCTTGGTCACCAACAAGTCCTCCTTACCTCTGGCAATGAAGACACCAGCGTGTCTGTGGGGCTCAATAACGACCTTAGCGCCACCACGGGCACCGCCTCTAGCGCCACCACGACCACCTCTGGCACCACCACGGCCTCCACGAGCACCTCCTCTGGCACCTCCTCTGGCACCTCCTCTAGCACCACCTCTGGCGCCACCTCTGCCACCTCTTGGAGCAAAACCACCTCTGGATCCGCCTCTGGCGCCGCCACGGGCACCGCCTCTACCGCCTCTAGTTGGGAAAGACATTATTGTGTGTTTATTTGTTGTATGGTAAGGTAGAGAGTATGAGAAATGGGAAAAATTTTTCTACAGTATAGTGCGCTCCTACAGATGCCGTGCGGGTAACCCCAGCGAATGGGAAACCCATCGACGTCAATACGCCTGCCACGTTGTACGGAGATTGATTTCTTTTGATTAGTGGAGTTGGAAATGTTTCTTATTCTCAGGTTTGGTGCTTTGAACTGCTTCAATATTGACATATCAGTGTAGGGAGCCATTTAAGCCTATGAACGATGAAAAAATTACAATATCCCACAATTGGTGACCCTAGAAACACTTGCGAGATACTTTATGTAGCTTTTTCGAATCAGCAAAAACCCAGTTGTTATTCTATGTAAGATTCGGAAAATAGTTTTTTGTGTGGGTATTCCTGGTAGACTTCAAACTGAAGGTCTATTGGTGAAAACGATGCCCATCGTGCGGCACGAAATTTACTATGTGGTTACCCTTTTGGGACACGTTATAATGTATCTCACCCCACACTAATCAAATTGACACCAAACACAGCCTGAAAGCTGGTAAGACCCTCCCGATGATATCTCAGAATTATCAGTCTTATCAGACTTTACTAAATCCAGATTCTACTGGATAATCGGTTTATCAGTCAACACCTGCACATACAGCTGTCTTCCTCCCAATTGGGTATCCGATCGACCAGTGGATCCGGTGCCGTATGCGTGTTAGGCTACGATCGATAAGTATCCAACATCACCATGTCTTTTCACACAGTTGCCATAGTGATTGGCACCATGGTGTGTGGGTGTCTTAACTCCCTCCTTACCAAATACCAGGATAATCAATGTGTCAAAAACTGCTCAAATCCCGATGTGAATACCCACCAGAACTTCGAGCAACCAGCTATTCAGACTCTACAGATGTTCATCGGTGAGTTGGGCATTTATATTGTGTACTACCTTGTCTACAAGTCACCCTTTTCACGGAGAGCTGAATATCAACCGTTGACCGGTGAGACACGGCCTACGCTGAAGAGTCAAAGCATGCTTCTTGCTATTCCGTCTGTGTGCGATATGTTGGCCACCACATTTATGAATGTGGGCTTGATCTACACACCCGTCTCAATTTACCAAATGACCAGAGGCGCCATAGTTCTTTTCGTCGCTGTGCTTTCGGTAATTTTCCTCCACAGAAGAATAAGGCCTTTGGAGTGGATTGCATTGGTAATCGTCACCCTCGGTATAGGTATTGTGGGGTATTCAGGTAGTCGAGCAGGTCCAGCAAAAACAAACGCAGAGGAACCAGCGCTCGTCATCTTTGGTATGTCCTTGATTATAGTGGCCGTCTCTCTTCAGGCTGTACAATTTGTTGTTGAGGAAAAGATTCTCGCCAAGTACCACTTCACGCCATTGCGCTTGGTGTATACTGAGGGCTTCTTCGGCGTTACGATTTTGACAACTTCTTTGATTGTTCTTAACTTCATTATTGGACTGATTCAGTCGAAGGATAATTTCGCTGACTCTCCATTCAATTTGCGTGAGTCGTTGACCCAGACCTTCTCGCTGCGTGAGGTCCTCATCTCGTCGTTCCTTATCATGATTTGCATTTCATCGTTCAACTTCTGTGGAGTGTCTCTTACTCAAAAGCTATCTGCCACAGCACGTTCGACGATCGACAGCTGTAGGACGCTTTTGGTTTGGATTACTGCAATGGTATTGGGATGGGAGTCCTTCAGCTCTTTGCAATTGTTTGGCTTTGCCACCCTTTTATTCGGCACCCTTTGTTTCAACGGTGTTCTTCAACCAGAGGATTGGTCTATTGTTCCTGACTTCCTCAAGGACAAGGCACACAAAAATGAACGGCTCATTGATGTTGTGGACGAGCCAGTGGAGAGGATGTGAATAGCTTTCATCGCGAAAGCAAAGTAGCATAGAACCACCCTCGCTTAAATAGACTATAGAGCTATATTCTGAATTAAAATTAATCAGATTAACATGAAAACCCATGTTCTCTTCTTGTTCTTCGGATGCTGTTTTGCAGCCAAGTGCACGTGACCCAATATCGACAAAACGATCTGTCGCTCGCCTACATAATGTTATTGCCACCAAAGTAACTAATCAAAATGGTACGTCAATTGAATAATTCATCCTCAAAATTCGAAACTAATGTCAGTCTTTGAGAGCTGTTCCCGAAAAGACAAACCCTTCCTCGATTTCCACCACTACCTTCGGGGATGCTTCTGAGAACACACCAGCTTTGCAGGATACCTTGAGGGCACAAGAAGGACCATTGAATATTGCCTCCCAGCTTAATAACCGTCATCCATTGGAGTCAAGAATTCAAAATTGGGAGAAAACCCAACATGAAACTAGAATGGAGACTTACAGACGTGTGTTTGGTGCTGGTGAACCAATCCGTAGAACCATGGAGATGGACCTTGTCGAGGCCACCGACTTCAAACCACAGGTGCTTGGTGGCGCCGACACTTTGCATAAAGATATCTTGATGAACAGAGAAAGTACAGTTGATTGGGAAGATATCTACAAGGGTGGCTTTGAGGCTGGCAGAAACGTTCCAGACTTCCACAGTGAGATGGAGAAGAAACTTGGAATCTAAGGGGCCAGCTGAATAATTAGAATTGTCTACGAATGAAAAGGTAACGAGATCAAGTGTTGTAGGCGAGGGGTGGTCAGCGAATTCTTTCAACGATACGGTGAAAACCACGCAGGCAAATATCGGCGTACGAATGATGAATCTTTTTCAACGTAATTTGAGTTATTGAAGGGAAAAAGAAGGCTGACAAACAATCTCTTTTGATAGGATGAAATGGGTTTGAAACACCAAGTCCAGGGTTAGCGCGTACGTAGAGGAAGTTGTACCAAGTCGAGTCATTAGAGTCCAATTCATCGTCTTGTGGCAAAATAAATCCAATTCAGATATTCACCCGAATTCAAACAATAGATCTAGAATGTGTCTCCATTTGATCTCTTCAACACTAAGAAATTTGGAAACATCAGCGCGACACTAAAAAAGTGCCGCATTAAAATTTTCCATACTCCACCTCCCACACATCTACATTTACGTCAACTTTTCTCCAGCAAAAGCCACGTAATTACCACAAATCCCTCAATAAAAGCATTCCATAACACTGCTTCAAACTAAAAGCCCAATGCAAACCGATTCGCATACCAATATGTATGTTTCTCATACTTCAGTTAACGATGAAACCACCTCTTCCCCAGCGAATACTAACGATACAAGGTTCCGCAAGGATCATTCATTCAATGACGCAGCTTCGTCCAATGAAACACCTGCTACTTCGTCCCAGTCCTTCAATATCCCCACCAACAAAGGCTCTAAGAGGTATCCGATCCAAGATGTCTTCAACGTGTGGTATGAGGTTAAAGACCAAGTTCTTAACCAGCCACCAGCATCCAGGCCCCAGGAAAACTACAAGCATTCTGTTCCCAAGGAGATCTACCACCTCAACTTGCAGAAACAAGCGCAAGGCGGTATGCTGATCCAGCCTACAGATACATCTAGCCAGTTGGATCAACTGTATCAGCAGAGCCAATCACTGAACCAGTCTATTCAAGGGTCTGTGCCTTCTTTGGAAGACGAAATGGCCCAAATGAGCGTGGGAAAGAAGCTGGCACCGCCACCCAACCTTGCCCCACCGGAACGGTCAAACTCCACCGATCAAAACTTGGTTCAGCCTGAGAACCTTTTCTGGCTCTATCTTGACCCATCTGGAAATGAGCAAGGTCCTTTCCTGGGCCTTGTAATGCAAGAATGGCTTACGGATGGGTACTTGGATTTCGATTTGCGTATACGTCGTGCTGAAGAGTCCAACTTCTACCCATTGAAGCAATTCTGCGAGGGTGTGAAGAATTATGTCCAACCGTTCAAGGTACCATTGCCGGATTTGACTGGATCCCAGCAGGGTCGTGACTCTCTGCAGATTCCAAATCCTCCTTTAGGCGATACCAATCAACAGTCTGCATTTGCGGCTAGTAACTTGTACTCGTCGCTTTTGCCAAATGGAGGCAATCTGAATCTTGGTGCCGCATCCATGAGAATGAGTAATTCCAACAACTTGTTTGATTTCATGGGCTCTCGTGATTATCCGTTGATGAACCAACCCAATCAGTTCTCCAACAACCAATTTGCCATCGATCCCGTTAGCATGAACTTGGGCCAGAACTTGGGCCAAAACTTGGGTCCCAATCTTGGCCAAAATTTAGGTCAAAACTTGTCAGGCAGTTTTGGCCAGTTGCATATGCCTTCCTTGCTCCAGCAGCAGATTCAGCAGCAGCAGCAGCCTAACTTGTCCAGAAATAACTCAGGTTGGGGATTGGACACGACTGGTGGCTTGATGGGTGGAAACCCTCTGACTCCTGGTGCTGTAAACACGAATCTTGCTGGTTTAGGCAACCTGGGCCCGATGTCGCCTTGGCTTTCTGGCGTACAGTCGGTTTCCAGAGTTAACTCTCCATTTGTTCCATCATCCTCATTGACAGGGTCTGTCTCTGCTGAGGGCTCTGACATCGCCAAGCCTCAGACTGACGATCCCGTTCTTCATGACATCCACAGCTCGATGGTCACTGGCATCTTGAATGACGATGATCATCGCCGTCAACCTGCTGAAGAACCACCTGCTGAACCTGAGCAACCTAGTGAAGCCTCTTATGAGGATCCTACTGCGAAAATGCCTGGAGCTTTTATTCCCGAGCCCGAGGTGGAAGAACCTCAACCTGCATCACCTCAAAGATCTGTTACGGAGGTGCCTACCGAGCCAACTGAAGAAACTGTTCCCGAGCAGCAGCCCGAGCCAGCAAAGGAACCTGTCAAGTCAGAAGTCAAGCAGGAGAAGCCCGCTTTGGCTCCATGGGCCAAGAAGGCTACTTCTTCAACTGAACAAACTAAACCTGCTATGACTTTGAAAGAAATTCAGGCTTTGGAAGCTGCTCGTTTGCGTGAAGAGCAACAAATCAAAGCTGAGAAGAGACAACAGGCAGCTTTGGCAGAGGCTATTGCCATTTCGAAAGAGGAGGCAGCTGCAGCTGCAGCTGAGAAGCCAACTTTCAATTGGGCTAACAATCCTTCGCAACCAGTTGTTGGCAAAAAGTCTTTGGCTGAGATTCAGAGAGAGGAAGCTGAAGCAGCGAAGATTAAACTCGCCGCTAACAAGGCGGCTGCCCCTGCCAAAACTTCTCTTGCTAGCTCTTTGGCTGCCTCTGCACCAAAGGAGGATAACGCTTGGACCACAGTTGTGAGCAAGAAACCTGTTCCAGCAAAGAAGCCTGCTCCAGCACCTGTTTCATACTCTTCAGCTGCTGGTGCCTCGACTAGCTCCATTTCTCCTCAGATGTTGCGTGCTGCTTCTTCTACCAGTACCAACACTCTGACCATCAATGGAAATGCTGTCAGAGAGGACTTCCTCGTGTGGGCGCGTTCAGCCATGACCAACTTGTACCCTTCTGTTTCCAAGAATGACTTGCTTGAGATTTTCACCACCTTGCCAATGCATCCTGATTCCAGCCAATTGATTTCTGAGACGATTTACAGCTCTTCCGCTACCATGGATGGTCGTAGATTTGCCCAGGAATTCATGAAGAGAAGACAGGCTGTCGAGAAACAGGTTGGCGCTGGAAGCAGTGAGAATTGGTCCGCTGCTATTGTTACAAGTGCCGATAAGATTCCTACCGTTGACGATGAAGGATGGAGCACTAGCAAGACTAAGAAGAAGGGAAAGAAGAATTAGATTAGGTATGTACAAGTCGAATAACCAAGCGAATCTCCTTTATGGCCCGTAATTGATACTTTTAACTACCTGAGCAACGCAACTCAAATTCTCTTCAGGAATCATCACCACACCTGACCGTGCCATTGATAAATAACTCATCTCTATGCTGGCCTCGCACGAGCTGAGGATACGACTTGCAAGACCTGCAACAATACCCGTCAAGTCAAGAGGAAGGGCTCGTAAGTCGATGTCGATGGGAAGAATGATATCTTGTGCAGAGCCAATGATTGATTTGAAGTCAAAGCCCATGGCAGCACGCTTGCGAGCTGAGCCCGGTAGGATGAGCGAAAGTTCATTAAGTGAAGTTCTTGTCATCACAAAGTAGTCTGGTAGAAACCCTGATCCAATGCACATGGCCGCTTTCTCGATTGCATCCTTCACTTTACCAGGTCGGGCACCCGTTAGTAGAAGCTTCTTACTTTTGCTGATTTTGGGGTGTATACCGTTTTCTTGAAATAGCAGAAGAGTTTTCTCTTCAAGCTCCAGAGTGCTGGTAGTTTGGTCTTCACTATCGCTGGTGTTCTCTGCTTCAGTTTTAACAAAATAGCTGTTCGAGACATCGGAGAACTCAAAAGACTTGCTTGTGAGAATTCTTATCACCTCATCCTTGTGGTTATGCGGTATCAAGACAATATCTGTGAAATGACTTGATAAGAAAAATAGAGGGATGCCATTTTGTGAAAGAGGTCGGGTCAACTCCAAAATTCGTGAAGAGTTATTGGACTCGCCATCACTATCCACTTGAAGATCGATGAATTGTCTGTCAGCGGACACCACATCATCATAGCTCAATTTCTGGCACACCATCAACAGTTCACGGAAAGTTTCCTGAAATACTGTGGAGGAGCAAATGACGGTACACTCGTTAGGCGTCAAAGCGAAATGGAAGAAGATGGTTTCTTCGTCTTCATCGTCCGAGGATTCGACCTCATTCTCGACAGGAGGAGGGGCAATATGTGCGTGCTTACTGCTGTTATCCACCCCGTTATCAGACTTTTGACGAGCCAAATTCTCTTGGGAGGCAACAATATCGCTTATTGCTGAATTGGAAGAATCATCACTTAACTCGGATTGAGACAAATTATCATCAGAGTCGAGTTCAGATTCACTTTCATGTTCAAGGCCAGGAGAGTTTTTCAGGGACTCCTGCTTTAACAACTTGAGTATTGGGGCCGTAAATAGCCAAACCTTATCTCTAGGGATCGATAGAATCGATAATTTGGTTCGGCTTAGGTGGACTTGGTTGCTCATGAAAAAAAGTTGAAGATGTGACGTGATGAGATCAAAATACTTTATTTGAGTCAGGGCCTCATTGTTTAAGTAGATCTGAGCAGGACATGAATCATCCCCCCCTCTACGTAACTTTCTGATGCGCGCGGATATGCAGCGCCTATGATTCATACTCTATTCCGCACGATATTGATCAAATCTGGTCCAAATGTTGCCTCTCATAAAAAGTTTCCCAGAGCTCAATTGCTTCTTTCTGCGATTCAATGGAACTTTCGATGTAGATTTCAACGCTATTTCTGAAGTCGTCAACCCGTTCCATCTCAAAATTGTCCATTTCCTCCTTAATTGTCTCACTGATAGCATTGAAGCTCTTCTCGAACTGTGCTGTCTTTTGCTTCAAATTGTCGACCTCGAATTTCAATATGTTGTACTTTTCTGACTTAGCTTTGTGGCTGGCCTTGTTCAATGCCTCCTCCTTCTTGAGCAAGTCCTGCTGAAATGTATAATACTGGTTATACGTCTTCGTCCTCGTCTCGAATATGTACTTGACGGAACCAATTACCCGTAGGTACTCCTCAATTGTGAAACCAAGTGTAAGTTGGTCTTGCAAATTGACCCTGTCGAGATTATCTTTAAGTTTCATGTGGATTTCTGCAAAGGCTTTGAGTAAAAGTGAGGTGCCTTTCAGAATTTCAAGATCAGCTAGCTCATCGATGATAGTAGCAATTTCCTCAGTCACGGCCACAATTTCGATTCGTTGACCAGCAATGAGCTCGAGTGATCTGTGGAATGTTTTGAGGTTATGTTCCAAATCTTCAACATATCCTTTTTTCCGTGAAAAGTAGGGGTCTGGCTCGGGAAGCTTTGTTGGTATGGAGAAAAGCGAGCTCATAAAGCCTCCTGTTCCGGAACCGGTCACTACCGATGTGCTCAGCATTCCGTCATTCTCGGGTTCTCCAGAATCGTCAAGAGCAACACCACCTGTGCGTTCTCTTTCTTTAGAGTCTCTCGCAAAATCTTGCGAGGTCAAAAAGATGATGAAGCTGGGGTCACTGACGAAGGCCTCGATTTTGCTGATTTTTTGAAGCATTTTCTCAAGCGATAATCGCCTATTCTCTATGAAGTTTTCATTAAAGCGCCCAATGTAAGTCTTTTTGGATGGTGGAGGTGGTATTATCCTTCCAGGATGACTTATTTGAAGTTGTTTGTAAACCCAGCAAAAGTCACGATAACGCCTTGAGACGGTGAAGCGATTGGGAGATTGCTCGGGAAGCAGAACCTTTAGGTTTCTGGTCTCAATAGAATACACGATATGTGCATTGGTGATGTCACCAACCTTAATTGGGTTACCAACAGAAATTTCTGTACCTGAAGAGGATGATCTGCGGTTGTGCTTAGATTCACCAGTTTTACTGGGCGACTGAGTCAACTCAGCTTCTTTATCCTCGGTAGAATCAGGCTTGATATCGTACAAAGGAGCATTGCTCTCCTTCACAAGCTCGCTTGCTTTATTTGTGGGGCTTGCTGAACTCTCGTTCTCGTCGGACTCTGGCTTACTGGCTATCGCACTTAAGGGGTCCGATACACCAGTCTCTTCCTTCAATTGCTTCACCACAGTAGCCGACGGGTATTTCCTAGAACGATGTGCACGGAACAGTGAGCCTTTTAGCTGCAGAGATTTCTTTGGCGATTGAAGGTGGTCCGAAGGTTGTTCAGTGGCATTGCTTTGGGTGAGTAACCTCCCTTTATCGCTAAATAAGGGATCCGACGAGGTTACTTTCGATCGATTAGAAAGGGAGGACTCCATGTCGTCGAATGCGGAGCCCTCTGTGAGCTCTGACATCAAGGCGGACTTCTGTTCCTTTAGTTCCTCCTTTCTCATTTCATGAATCTGGTCCAATTCTGCCTGATGTTGTTGTTGTGATCCAAGCCCAAAAGGTGACGCTTGGTATGTATTGCTGTGAGTACTATCACTTTGAGCTTCTTCGTCCTCCTCATCCTCCTCTTCGTCTTCCTGCTCTTCATTGTCATTCTCATTATCGGGGTCGTCAAGACCGAGGTCAGCGAATTGATTGCCTAGATGGGAGGGGAATGTCGAAGTTGAGGAGAACTTGGTAGATGGCAGTAGCACATCATCCCAGTGTGAGGCGGTCAAATCTTCATCCATGATCGCTGTGACTATAGTGTGTACTATCTATCTCACAGTTGAATCGGAGGCTAGGTGGCTGTCTAGTTATGTGCAGTACATGGTCAATTTATACAAAATTATGATCTCTAAATTGTTCAATTCGATATATATATTTCATATCTATGGGGCGGTGTATCCACCGTCCACCAAAATGTCCGTACCCGAGGTGTAGGTGGAGGCATCGGATGCAAGGTACAAGTAGGCACCCACCAACTCGCGAGGCTGGCCTTGTCTGCCCAATGGAATGATTTTGTTCCAAGTTGCAGAAATCTCTGGGTCCATGCTTCCGGTAATGTCAGTAGCAATGTAGCCGGGAGAGACAGAATTGACTCTCGCAAATGGAGCCCACTCAATCGCAAGCGACTTGGCAAGCATTATGGTAGCAGCCTTGGCAGCGTTGTAAGGGGCCTGAAGCTGGGGAACATTGACAACATGGCCAGACATTGATGCGGTGATAATGAAGGATCCCTTGCCCTTCTTCTTGAAAATCTGACCGGCGGGTCTGGCGCAGTAGTACACAGCGTTCAAGTCCAAATCGATCATCTTCTTCCACGCATCAACGCCCTCCGTGTCAATGCAAGGACCATCGGACCATGCCACGCCAGCGTTGGCAACAAAGACATCAAGTCCGCCAAAGTCCTTCTCGATCTGGTAGACGACCCTTTCCACATCGGTGTGGTCCGAGATGTTGCACTTGTAAGCCTTAACCTTCACTCCATAAGTCTCGGCCAAGTGCTTCGCCTTGTCTTCAATTGGGTGGGAGTTGTACCAGAGGGCAACGTCAGCACCAGCCTGAGCGAATGCCTCAGCCACTGCCCAACCAATTCCTCCGGAGGAACCGGTGACCGAGGCGACCTTTCCTTTCAAAGAGAACAAGTCAAGAGCACTAGCAGCAACCTGAGGGGCCTGGGTGGGCAATTCGCCGAGGGCTTCGTTTATAATTGAGGTGACCATTGTGAAATATAAGTTTTCAGTAGTTCGCAGTGAGGCTACGCGGATCCTTTTATATAAAGTTGGCAAGGTTGCTAACATCTTACCTTGCAAGGACAAAGCGTCTGTGTGTGGGGTTGTGTGCAGGCATTATGTTCTGATTCCAATCTAGCCACGGAAGGACTGGTTCGCCAGATCAGAATAGCGGACTGGCCATGACACATAAATTGGTAATGTTCATTACAGTGTTGTGTAGTGAAGGTGGCTTGAGGTAATTGATAGAGATTGCCCCGTCATTCTCGAAACAATGCCATTTGCAGGAGCTGCAGGTCTCTCACTATTGCGGTTCGGACTTTTCCTGGCTTAGGCATAATTTTTAGTAATATGTTTCTAAGTTCTCCATCATTCAGAGTATGCGGGCCTATTTTTTGTCAGCTCTACAGCAATGATCATGCAACAGGATTTAGATTAAGCCTTATATAGATCTTGGTAACTAGGTGACAAAGATCGACCTTACCAAATACCACCGCCCTGACCGAAACCCATAGAGTTGAACAGGCCAGGTATTGAATTCAGTAGCTGAAACCCGTTGGTCTTGAGACCACCATTTCCATCATGCTGTCTTTGCGGAGCGCCATTGACAGATTTCATAGGCTGCGGCTGTTGCGGCACGTTCGGCATGTTTTGCTGTAAAGGCTGATTCTGGAATGGACCCTGAGTTGCGGTTGAAAACCCAAACTGTAGGTTGTTATTGAGCAGTGGCTGCATACCGGGCTGGGCCATCGGTCCCGGCATCTGAGGAAGTGGACCATTGGCTGGATTTTGTATCACTTTAATATGCGTAGCGTTGCCCCGGTCATCATGGATGAGGTCAAAGTGGTATCTGCCAGGCACATTTAATGTCTTGAGAAACTCAGACATCCCCATCGATGAATTCCCCAAGAGTCCTCTCACCACTTGAAACATGTTCATGACAGGAGCCAGGTCAAATGAGAGCTGATTGTTGGCCAGCATGAGGGTAAATGCGTCGAAAGCTGCTTTTTGTACAGCTTCAACGTCGACCATAGGTGTCTGCTCCGAGAGCGAAAAACGGTTTCCGCCTACTGGAAGCATTCCGTTGTTAATCTGCTGCAGTGAGGCATTGTTATTCCAAATTCCATGTTGTGTCTCTGAACTGGACGTGTTCCAGATAGAGTTGTTCCTCGATGCACCATTTGACCACAAAAAGTTATTCGTTTGTTGGATGCTAGGCCTGGTATTGCTGCCAACAGATGCATTCAGAAATACATCAACCGACGGTGGTTGATGCAACTGGTCCAAGACAGCATTCGAATTGAATGGACTGAACTGTGAGGTGCTCTGGTTGGCACCAATTCCTTGAGTCGACTGATGATTTGAGAACGATTGTGTTCCGTTGCGCCAATCCATTCCTCTGAACCCATCAAGCAGTGAGTTGAATTCCGGATTTTTGTTGGGTGAGAAATACTGAGGAGCCTGCTCCGGTAAGCCGAACTGATTGACTTCCGCTGAGTTGATGTGTGGTGTTGAAGCTGATGTTGATGAGAGTGATTGTGGCTTGGCACGATAAAGTTGTTCCAATAGATGATTCTTCGGCGGCGAGGTGGTTGGAATGTCAGCCTGCAATTCGTCAAGAGGCATCAAAGGGTTTGCGGAGTCAAGAGACAAACTATTGGCTCTTTCGAGGAGGTCTTGTTGTTGTCTGCTCAAGAACTCTTCTGTCTCATTGAAGTTGTCTTGACCCATGATGGATTGAGGTAAAGGCAATGTTGACAGCTGAGTGTCATTGGCCTCCTTCGTTGACTGAGCCGCCTCTCTTGGATCAGAGCTTGACAGATTAATAGGAGTCTCCTCAAGAGTAGTCAGCTCTGCTCTCTTCGTCTCCGAATTCTTAAGTTTCTCCTTGCGTTTCTGTTCCTCGCGCCGTTGTTGATCAAGCCTCTGCTCCTCTAACTTCTGCTGCTGAAGTCGCTGCTCCTCACGTTCTTTCTTCTCCCTCTCACGCTCAAGTTCTTGCTGTTTCCTCTTCTCAGCTGCTTGTTGCTGTTCAAGCTCTTTCTTTTGCAAGGCTTCTATGCGCTTCCTCTTTTCCTCCTCTTTCTTCAACCTAGCCTCTGCTTTCTTTTTCAACTGCTCTGCCCGAATAGCCTCCTGCTTTCTCTCTGCTTCTTCCTTTCTTGCAAGCTCTTCCGCCTCTTTGCGCTTCTTTTCCTCTTCTTTTGCCAACTGCTGTAAACGCTTCTTCTCCTTTTGCTTTTCCTTCGCTTTCAACTTCTTCGCTTCTCGCTCTTTTTTGGCATTTTCCTCTGCCTCAAGCTCAGCGATAAACTTCTGCGTACGATCTTCAGAAAGTTTACGTTCGTAGGCTTCCATGAACCTCTCACGAATCATGTTGACGGCTTGAATCATAACAAAACCTCGAATTTCCTGAGAGCGCCCGCGCTGGGCTTCCTCATCGTCAAACTCACCATCGTCATAATCTTGATTACTATCGTCATCGTTTAACTCGTCATCATGATCATAATCGTCGTGGTCGCACTCGTGGTCGCATTCATGGTCACACTCATGATTATGCGTGCACTCATGGTCACAAACATAGTCGTGGTCGTGTTCGTGACGGTGATGGTGTGCAACATCTTGCTCATTGTAGTACTCCTCCTCGTTGATACCAGCATTATCGAAGGTTTGTTCGGTATCTTGAGGGGCAAAAGAAAGATCTGCATCACCATGTTCGGTGACATTGAGCGGGGATTGTAGCACTTGTTCATGAGCTGGATCAGATTCGCCCTCCTGAATCTGTTGTATCTTAGATTCAACAAGGTTCATGCGAGCATTTCTGGCATCCGTTAGTGATTCTAGCATATCCACAAATGACTTGCCATCGTTCTTCATGATCAAATCGGCAAAATTGGAGAGGAATTGCAGTACATCGTTGAACTGATCGTTGGATTCTTTGTAAAGACGACTGCAGCATCTTATGAACTCCACTGCTTTCGCAAGCCCATTTGCATCATCTTTCTTGATGTTGGCAAAAATCTCAGTGAGATTCTTAGCAGACTCGTCGATTGCAGCTTCCGGTTTTATGTTTCTCTGTAGAAGCTCATACTTCACAAGTTCTTGAATCGTGTTCGGGTTAATGAGCTCCAGGACCTTCTTGGCTTTTCCGAGAATATCTAGCATTTCTTGCGGCTCGAGATTCATTAGTAGTTTCTCATCTGGATCCTGAGAGTCAATTTCTTCCTCTCTCTCTTCAATGATATGATCATTCGCTTCATTCGATGACACTGCTTGCGTAAACGGGTGATCTTCGGTAAGGATTGGCTCCTCCATATGTGTTTGAGCCGAGGAGGCAATGTGCTCGTTATTTGCGTGGCTTGCCGCAGCTTCGATGGTATATTGGTGTTCATATGAGGGATTTGGGTGGAAAGGAGGTTCGGGGAAGCTGCGTGGAAACTCTGCACGGGCATTCATACAACTCTCAAGGTAGTTGGCTATCACATCAAGATGCTGGTTGTATGCTATAGCTAGCTCATCCTCTATGTAGCGGCTATTCCGCCCACAGTAGGCACAAGTGCAATGCTCACCTCCTTGGTTGTGGTGGTGCTCGCCAGTTCCGTATTGATTAAGCGGCAATCCCTTATTCGGATGATTTCGTTTGAGGTTTCGTAGGTTCTCCATGAGATGCTCTTTGTCGACACGGAGTATGTCTCTCTTCTCATCATCGGACAAGTTTGCCCAAAACGCTCGTTCTTCATCGTTGTGGAAATGGAATAAGGAGAAATCTAGCAGCTCTCTGCCATGCTGTTCGGAGTATTCGGGCACTGCTGATTCGCCAGTCGGAGGATATTCGTCGTCGAGGCTCTCCACAATCAAGTCTCCTGAAGGTCCCACCTTGATAACTCTTGAAGTAGGATAGTCAGCCTCTGGATCGTGAATTCGAGCATCATCGATGGAGAACATTGGATCTTCTGTGGAATGCTGTTCCTCTGTTTGAGCATCATCATTTGCTGCCTTTGACTTCTTCTTCTTCTTTTTCTTCTTCTTTTTAGCAGCTCCACTGGATGTGGCCGTATCTTCTTTTAGTTGACTGTGACTGTTGGGCTCATGCGAATAGTCGAACCGAACATCGGTACCGTACTTGTATTGTGTGGCATCCGTCATGATGACGTTTCGGTGTAGTTCTTGCACGTATGAGTTGATCAAATTTGTTAGGCACTTCTCGCGAAGCCCGCCACTACTTAAAGATGACTACGGGTTAATTGAGTGACTAGAAAGCTCTAAATTCTATAAGGTCATCAAAGTTTGATTTATTGAAAATTATTTCGAAATAAGTGTTTTTTAATAGATTCTGGGTTGTATAAGTCGTTTTTGCAGACCGTCGGAATCCCCAGATACCTTGTCTCAGGCCGGTAGCTTTTCGCACCCAAGCATTAAGCCTGTCTCATCCCCTCTCAGGATTCATTTTTCTTGTCAAGCCTTTCCCGGAGCTTTTTGTTTTCCTCCACAAGATTGCCGACTATGCTAGATAGATGATCAAGCTTCTCGTATAATGCGTATTGCTCCCACTTTATGCCTTTCTCGTTGGCTTTCTCAACCGGCGGAATCACTTGTTCAATGTCTTTCAGTAAGGACGGGAAGTCTGCAGCAAATTCAGGATCCTTGCTTTCTGCAATACGTTGCTCTCTGAGCTCGACATTCACTTCATCATCTCTGTTTTCGATTCCGCTGTCTCCCATCACCAACAAGTCTACATCGAATCCGTCTGTCATGTCCCACTCGGTGTCGATTTCATTAGCGTCATCGGGAAGACCCTTGAAGCGATTGTACTGGACTCTTCGAGCATTACCAAGCTCATCGATAGTGATGTACAAGAGCATAGGTGAATAGACAACCGTCATCACCACTCTGTTGATGTACTTGTATGTGCGCTTGGACACCACGTAGTAAAGCGGGAAAATAATCCACTCGATCAAGTTAAACGGTGGGACATACAAGTCTGTGTCTGGGGCACGAATGTAACGTAAAGTTTTCTGAGCCACCAAGGCAAAATACTCGTCTGTGGCATTTTCCACAATTGCAGCGTAAGCTGTGGAATACAATGCAACTAAAATGTTCATCAATATGACTTGAAGAACAAATGAGTAAATGTAGTATAATACCAGCGCATATGGTGGGACGAGATTCTCGACATCATTGAAGCCAGAGGCACCAATAACAGCATTCACCAATGAAGTCAAAATATGTTTAGTGGCCTCACTTTTTCCATCTGATGCATCAAGACCCAAAAAGCCTTCTAAGAAGCCCAAAATCACCACACCAAGCAAAACGAAGAATAGAATAGATTCTTTCATCATCGTCTTGATGACAACGATCATGGCACCCACAAACTGCTGGGCATCCAAGTATAGAAGAAGGCGGGACCACATCAAAGGTGAGGCACAAGACAATACACGGAAACTGATCTCATCGTATCTTTCTCTGTAAAGACCGCTATGTCTGAGAGATGCGAAACGAAACCCAATGGCAACGACTATGATCGAATACATGACGTCGTTGAACACATTCCAGAAACCCAAGTAGTTCCAGCCCACATGGTAGAGTTTTGTAAGCTCGTCAATGATCGAGCCCAAGGTAAATGCGTAGAAGAACCCTTCAAACACGTCAACGTCAGTTGTCACGATTTGGTGGGTATTCAAGATGATTGTGTAGAAGATCAAGTACAACACACTAAACGCAATCTCAATCTTGTTCTGATACGCGGGAGTTTTGATTCTATCGGGATCAAAGTGAGTCCTGATTGACTGAGACGCAACACCTTTGTAAAGCACATAGGAATGAGGGTCGGTAGACGATTGCATGATCCAACCTCTCCATAACCACTTCATACATCGTTGATAGCCTGAGCAGCCAATGACTATAGTCAGATGCATATCCACAGCCAATTCTAGAGCACTGACAGAGTCGCAATCTTGACCTCCAATCTTCATCAGATAACGGTGACAAAGCATTCCCAAAAACAAGTACTCGTCATCCTTCGTTTCTTCGATGATATCAACCGCCAACGATTGTGCAGCAACCGCCCTCAATGAGTATAGTTCATTGTCCGAAAGTCGATATTCAGCTTGTTGCCAGTACCACCCAGTGACCTTCAACAAGGCAAAAACAAGAGCTGCCCGGTATTTATACGAAGTTGTACCAGCAGCACCATTGCCTTTGCCTCCAGCACAACGGTAAATAAGCCGAATCACCTTGGGGTTAAGCACAGCCAGGTGAGGATTCACAATCTCCTTCTCATCAAAGATAGTCGGGATCACTCTATCAATAACTGCCTTTATGTTTAATGCAATTCGATAGGTTTGTCTGGAGTCGGCACACCGGCCATTTCCAATACTAGTACCAGTTGGAAACAACGGATCCTCCTCGATAGACATAGTTAGTTTTGTTGATAACAGAACTCACATTCTCCGCAACCTTCTCGCGGGCGGGCAGACAGGCATGCATGGAAACATTTCCAATTGAATGATCTGTTGATCGGTTGAGCTTGATATGATCTGGATCTCGCCGATTGTGTTAATCTTTTGGTTCAATGAATAGACATCGTGGTCTGTCAATTATTATGTAACTTTTGGCTATCAATAGCTCGCCTACATAGATATGCAATTATTGTGCCGCGCGTCTCGGGAAGGATATGGGCGCAGGGGAATTAGAGTTGACGGCTGCTATTTTTGGAAACCACTTCCACAGAAAAGGAATTTGGAATTTTAGTAGAAAGTTTAGTAGTGCGCTCGTCCTTGCGTGTCTCTGTTCTTTAAATCATTTGGTTAGCCTTTTTGCGGCAATTATAGTTTTTTCCATCTCTTCTGGATCTCTTGATCGTAGGCCAATGCTGTCGTGGTCCCTACTACCAAGTCAAACATACCACTCAAACCAAAGAGCTCTTGATCTTCAAACACCGTGAGCCAGCCGAGTTTGAAGTGATGGTCAGGGTCATCATCTTTGGGGAATTGCTCACCGTAAAGCCCGTCTCCACATTTGAAATATGCTTTTTGTTCCGCAAAGGGATCTACTTGAGCCAGCTGCGGGCTGATTCCACTCTCTTCATCCATCTTGGATAGTCTATTAATAGATTGGATGGCACGTTTTCTGATCTTCGACTCGCAAGGTCGAAACAACGCAGTCACCGGTGGGAACCTCTCGTCTTGCATTCTCCGGCTTTTGGTTTGGAAATTGCGGTGGAAGTAGATATTCTGCTTACCAACATACTTGGGAACCTCGGATCTCTTTGATAACGACCACTTCTGCTTGACTCTAGGAATTGCACCCAAATCCCACCTCAGGTTATCTATGGTCCGGACCTCGTAGTTTTTCATCTGAAATGGTGGATGAATTGGATAGTAATGCGGGTCAATTCTCTTTGGATTAATGGTGCCCTCGTGGACCCCCGTGTTCTCATTCAGCGGTACAATTTCTCCACCTAGAATTCTTCTCGTCTTCCTGACTTTGTATTTGAATGATCCATCCGGTAGTTTCTTGAATCGCATTATCAGCGTTCCGGATTCGAACTCCTCGAAGTTAATGGTGAACCCGTCCTGGTCCTTCTCCACACTCATGAAGTACCCTGGAAGGCTGCGGCACTGCAAGTGCCTCATGAGGGGATTTGTGCTCAAATACATGTCATCACCGAAACATTGAATATGAAATTTCCAAAAGCCTTGGTCCTCTGTCCCATTCTCTCTAATTTGAGGTTGCAGAATCAGTTGCCTCTCTGGCAATGGAGGTCGTCTTCTACTGGGAGCTCGGCGAGGTAGTGGCGGAGGTGCTTCCTCTAGTAGCCGCGAACCATCTTGGGGATGATTATTCTGTTGGGATTGAAGTTGAGCCTCTTCATAGGAAGGTAGGTCTGGATCCACAAAGGAAGACATGTAGTAAGTACTGTTTGGTCAGAGTTGGCGCTTGACAGGAAGGATCATCTCTGCAAGGCAAGAGGCTGTACAATGCAACCATCACGTGAAGAACGTTGCATTTTACCAACGGCCACAACGGTATTCTAATAATGGAAAGAGAGGCTGTTGATGATGGCCGTGGAATGAGAATATCGGTATTAGAATACGAAGGTAGGTCTGGTGTTAAGCCATGGCGGCTTTGATTCATTTCCCTTGGGGCATCTTATCGCCGAGCTTGCGGGCTAGCTGACATAATAATTTATTTTTTCTTTATTAGTTTTAGACGAACAGCAAAGGGGGCTACAGCTTTTCTAATTCGCTACTCTTGGTTCCTTTGAAGATCTCGTGTGGTGTCTCTACTTATATTTCCCTAGCCATACAACGCAACCACATCTAGGAAGAGTCAAGTGTAGGTTTTTTGGTGCATGTCTCCATACTTTAATACATAGGACAGGCTAGTTACTTGTTTGCTTCTTCTCTCTGTGTTTTTCATATTTCTTTTAATATTATTTTATTTAACTAGCAGTAGTATGTCCCTGACAACTGCCTGTAATTCACACTTTACACATCAAGATGCAGAATGGCTGCAAAATCACATAATTCTAATGCCAGCTATAAAGATCATTTTATTGTCCCGGAAAAATCATTAACAAAACAATGCCATTTTACAGAAAAAGTGACACATTCGTTACCCCTGGCGCTAAATTGCTGGTACCTGTATTGCTCGATTGTGGCCCACTCGTGTCTCACAATCTGATTCCATACGTGAGCAGCGCGCCTTGAAAATGTCGACTTTCAAACAACACTTCTTGTTGCTCATCCGTTTATCAAATCAAAGTTATGAGTGAGGAAGTCACACCTGCTCCACTCGTATGTTACGTGCTTTCAGGCCTGTTGCTGCAAATTAGATTGAAACGAATACGGCAGCCCTACTACAGACCTCTGACGCTCGATGCGTTGATAGTCTCCCAATTTAACAAATACTAACCATAAGATTGGGTTCTCCCCGTCGATAGAGAACAACAGAAAGAAGTACTTTGCTCCAGATACTAAGCCAAAGATCGATCTCGATGACACAGTCAAGAAATTCAAGTACTTGTTAGGCTTGACCAACTTGTTTCAGCACTTCATCGATTCGAAGGCAAGAAAGGACCCTGTCTTTGCACAAGTGTTGCACAAGATGGGTGAAACTCAACCCAAGAGTAACGCTGGTGCCAA